AAAGTTTTACACTAAAATTATGTGTTTCAATGCCTATATCTATCATTTTTGTTGATTTTTTCCCGATACCTAAAACGATAATGATATATCCCCCGAAATATCCGTAAATTGGAGGCCCGATATTATCTGCACAGTCGATATTTTAATCCTTGTCAGCGGGAGCTTTAAGCAAGCCCATTATTCAACGTTTCTTGGCGAAGACGCTTCTCCTCAGAGAGTAGTTTTGCAACCCTGCAAATTATAATTAAGTTAAAGTTAAACCTTTCCATTAATTAATTACTATGTCTATATATTTATTATGCATGTGGATTTATATAAGTGTGTGATATATATATATACCTTCTAAGAGCCTCTTCATTCGTCTCATTATTAGAAGCCTCAAACCTGCCACTGTCCAAATTAACCCTGGAAACTCGTTCTTTCAATAGGCCTTCTCCAACTGTGACAAGACGGGCCAAGTTCTTCTTTGTGGCTACATCCACAGAAGACACCGTCCCATGAAGCGTGTCATCCTGCGTACACATACAAGTCAATATAAATATGTAACCCTAATCTAATTATCATAAGAAATTAGATTACCATCCTTAAATAAGATGTTTTTCTTTTTCATTAAAGAGTACCTGAATTCGAAGATAGTAGGGAAACCCAACCCCTTGAGGCGATGTTATCAAAAGGAAAAAAAAAAAACCTTTTTTTTTTTTTTTTTTTTTTCAGGTTACAAGGAGGGCCGAAGCCCAAGAAAAAACCAAAAAGAAAACTACACTGGGACAAGCCTAGTAGTGGTCATCCTAACAGAGTCATTTGCCAAGAGGCTTACAATAGAAGGAGGGGGAAGATCAACAACATGATAACCCAAATTGGAACTTTGACCAATATGTGCCATATTGTCAGCATCAATGTTTTGTTCTCTATAAATATGAGAAATGGAACACTCCCAGTCACGCAATAGCATGTCTTTGCAGCTATGGATGAGGCTAGAGAGAGGGTGACTAGGCCTAGTCTCTCCCTTAATTAAAGAGACAACAGTAAAAGAGTCACACTCCACTTTAATTTTTCGAATACCTTCATTCCACGTAAGGAGTAAATCTCTGAAAACACCCCATAATTCAGCTTCATGGATTTTACCACACCCCAAATTTATATAGTTGTGTTGTAGAAGACATAATCAAAACGTGTTTATAAGGACTCTCAATAAAATCATGAAGGCAAATGAATGTACAACAAGGAATCTCTATTCTCAGTAAAGAGAAAGAATACTCCAATGATATGATTGATCAAATTTTTGCGCAAAGTAGCAGATAATATTTGAAAGAAGAGGTCTTTAAATCTTACCAGGATAATCATATAAAGGAATAATTCATATTAGGATATTTGACATTAGATTCCATTATCTAATAATGTGAATAAAGAGTCACTACAAAAAAAAAATGGTCTTTTGCGACAAACTTTATTCGATGGCCCCTAAATATTGTCGGAAAAGGTCCTTTTTTCGACTAAAAAATGTTAGCCGTCGGAAATATGTCAATATGATGCATTTTATTTCCGACTCTGAATGTAACCTCGAAAAAAGTCTCCATGGATGTCGGAAATACATTGTTTTTAGGCAGGAAGCCTTGGCACCAGCTGTATTACCGACAAAACGCATGGCCATCGGAATTGTAATGGTTATTTCTGAGGGGTTGTTTTTGCCCCTGGAAATAGTCACTTATTTCCGAAGGAAAATATGTCTTCTCTGTAATGAGTCTACATTTCCGAGGGCAATTATGTGCGGTCAGAAATAATTGCATTTTACCGACGACATGTTTTGCTTGTCGAAAATAGTTGTCGATTTCCGACGAATAATTTTTGTTGTCGGAAGTAAATTTTCATTTCCGATTGCAATTAACCGCTTTCAGAAATAGTTATTATTTGCTATGGCATATAACTTGCATCGGAAAAAGTCATCGAAAAAATTGAAAGCATGGGTTAAAAAAGTATAACAGAAATATATATATATTTTTTTTGAATGCCAATAACAACTATATTGAATTTGTAATGCATGGCTCAAATTAAAAGTAACTTAATAAGAAAACGAGCAAATATCTAAATTCAACAAAGACACAACACTTGGAGAGAAAATTACCTAAGCAAAAGCCTTTTTTTTTATAAAAAAAAAATTCCCAAAATGAAAACTTAAACGATCTGACATAGAAAAGCAATATCCATTGCCCAGACGAAATCCTGAATACAAGGTTAAAGAAAAGTGAAGGGAAAGTTCAAATATCCTAAAAATAAGGTCTTAAGTGCTTAATTTGCCTTTAACATTGTTCGAGGAAGTCAAATCCCGAACCCCTAATCTCTTAACTAAGTTACAAATTAAGGATCATGTAACCGTTCACCATTGGAGGTAAGCTGCCAAATACAAGAGTCCACCTCACTATGATTAAAACCTACATGAATACTGTGGGAACCGAATTAAATCACCCTAGGTCAAATAATTCCTTCCATTTGGGGATTATTTGACATAATTGGGAGTTACTCAATTTAATTGGGAGTTACCCAATTAAATTGGCAATTACCTAATTAAAATGGGGATTGATTTGATTCCTACCCTAATTAGGGATTTGATTTAAATCAAATAAATCAAATCCCTAATTAATCAAATCTCACCTAATCAGGGAGGAATAATTCCTTTCCTTCTACGAAATTATTCCTCTGAAACCCTAGCCTCCGAGGCCCCTATAAATACCTAGCTACACACAAGGGTTAAGGTATGTCTAAATTCCTACTGAAACTCTGCAGAAATTATCCCTCACAAACCATAGCCACCATCTTCTTTCTCTCTCTCACACACAAGGCTCCGGCCTCCACACACGGCTCCGGCCACCCGGTTTTCCTTGAAACACTTATCCTAACTTAGGCATCGGAGGGCCTTTGGCCAACACCCCCCAGGTGTGGTCCTTTTACTCCGATTTGTTTTGCAGGGAGAGAGAAGTGCGAAGAAGACGAAGAAATCTTTAGGCGAATATTCTCGTGGGAGGAAATTTGCTCCCACAAATGCAATGAATTTTCTACACCACATCCAAAGGGAGACAACCCAGAAGCCAATTGGTGTTCCACCCTTGCTCGGTGAGGAAATCACTCACAGTCCACTCAAGCAAGTCATCAGAAAGGGAAATGGTGGCGAAGTTCTCAAGAGGCCCACAACCTACCCAATTATCTTTCCAAAACAAGATATTGTCACCATTACCAACTCTCCATTTAAGCCCTTTAGAGACAATTTGAGAACCGAATAGAATACCTCTCCAAGTACTAGAGCAATTAAGGAATTTGAGATTTGGGGCAGCAAGCAAACTTTGATCTTTTAGATGCTTTCCATTAAGAACTTGAGACTAAAGACCCTGATCCTTTTGGACAATTTTCCAACCAGACTTGGCAAGTAAAGCCTGGTTCATACAATGGGTCTTTTTTATGCCTAGACCACCAAAGCTCTTAGGCTGACAAACAGTGTCCCAATTAACAAGGTGAATTTTAGTTTTATCACCAGTATAACCCCACAAAAAAACCCTATTAAGCTTATCAAGCTAGTTGCAAGTAGACATGGGAAGATCAACAGTTTGCATAGTATAAATTGGAATAGCTGAAGTAACAGCATGCAAGTAAGTTAATCTACCTGCCATAGATAATGTGTGACTCTTCCAAGAAGCCAATCTACGCTGCACTTTGTCAACAATCCCAAGTAAGTATCCTTGGTAATTCTAGACTGGATCAAGGGAACACCAAGATAATTTCCAAGACAATCAGTAAGGGGAGACCCACAAAAATTAGCAAAAGCAATCCCAGAATTAGTATTAGGAGAGCAACAAATTCTGGATTTATCAAAATTAACTTGCCGACCCGAGGCACCACAAAATAAATCCAAACAATGCTTCATAAGCTTAGCTTGGTGTATAGAGGCTTCCCCAAATAAAATAAGATCATCAGCAAAGAAGAGGTGAGTTATAGCAGGACCATTTCTGGCAACCTTAACAGACTTCCAAGTTCCAGAGGAAACATGATCATTGATAATATGGGAAAGTTTTTCCATGCACAGAACAAAGATGTAGGGGGATAGGGGGGTCACCTTGTCTGATCCCAGCAGTAGGAGAGAATCTTTCAGTAAGCTCACCACTAAGAATGGCTTGGTATCTGACAGACTTAATACACTGCATGATAAGAACAAGTAATTTACCTCTAATCCTAATTTCCCATAACACATCATACATGAAATCCCAATGAAGTCTGTCATAGGCTTTGGAGAAGTCAATTTTCCAAGCAATGAAACCCTTCTTTCCTTTAGAATTTCTAAATTTATGAAGAACCTCTTGACAAATCCACCTTTGAAATCAAATTGAAGTTGGGGCTGATTTTTTTGCTTTGTTGCTGCCACTTTGAGGGTGTCGTCGTCGCCGGTGCCGGATGGGTGGATTAGAGAAGCCCTTCGTTGGATTGGGTGAAGATTGGTTCAATATGATAAGGGGTTTGGGGATTTAGGGTTTGACATTAGGAAAAATGGAGCTGAAACTGAAATGGGGAGGGGAGGTATCGGGTTGTCTCTGTTAAACAGAGTATGCGCCCAGTTTTTTTTTTAAAAAAAAAACCTGAGCCAAAACGACGTCGTTTTGGTCAGGTTTTTTTTATTAAAAAAATCCATTAGTTGAACGACGTCGTTTTGAAGTTGAGGAGGAAAAAAAAAAAAGAGTGCGCAAGCAGCGCTGCGCGCTGGAGAAGAGCTGCGCGCTGGAGAAGCAGAGACCAAAGTTCTTTGGGGACTTTCATCAAACAGCTTGCAGGGGTCAATTTTCTCCCCTTCTATGGCAGATTTCAGAGGTTGCAGGGGTCACTTGACCACCCTTGCTCCTCTGTAGATCCGTCCCTGATGGGGAGGAAAGATTTTTCGAACAAAAAAAAAAACGGGCAAGGAAGATTCGAGTATGAACTTTGGCAGTTGTGGATAACTATTCTTAACCACTTGAATTACAAACTCTTTATACCTTTATTTATATACTTTAAACGATTAAGGATGGTGTAGAGATAACAACAATAATAACAAAATAAAATATTTTTATTGATGTTCCCACAACCAAAAGAATTTGAAAGAAAGAATGTATATGTATACATCTATTTACATTCATATCCCGCCTGGGATTTATTCAAACACACACAATATTAAAAGAAGGGATCAAGGTATGATGGGATCATTTTGCCCCCATACACTTGACCTTACAACAATTTATTATAATTTACAATTTTCCAAACGATTCTAAATGAAAGAATCAAGAGTTGTTTATATACTTGGATCGATCATAAGGTAGGAGCTTTAAGCAAGCCCATTATTCAACGTTTCTTGGCGAAGACGCTTCTCCTCAGAGAGTAGTTTTGCAACCCTGCAAATTATAATTAAGTTAAAGTTAAACCTTTCCATTAATTAATTACTATGTCTATATATTTATTATGCATGTGGATTTATATAAGTGTGTGATATATATATATACCTTCTAAGAGCCTCTTCATTCGTCTCATTATTAGAAGCCTCAAACCTGCCACTGTCCAAATTAACCCTGGAAACTCGTTCTTTCAATAGGCCTTCTCCAACTGTGACAAGACGGGCCAAGTTCTT